ATGTTAAATATTCGATAGAACAACGACTAAAGTTTAAAGTTTAGGAAGAGCAACCAAACACCCTGTGTGGTGTGCGTTGCAGAATCCAACGAGTTACGGAATAGTGCACCCGATGTATGATCGTTGATCGGGCACACGTCGGCGTCACGCCCTCTCCTTCCATTTCAAGCCCCTCGTTGGCTTCCCCCAGGTTGACCAGCTCCAAGCCTCCAAGGAGGAGGAGAGAAGCCGGCACAAGCAAGCCGTCAACACACGGATCAAAACGAGAGTTTTTAGTTAACAAGAGGCAGCAGTCGGAGCAGGCCACGGAGTTGGGAGAGGGAGATGGACGTGAAGCGGTCGCGGAGCCCTCGGGCTCCGGCCGAGGACGACAAGAAGCGTGCCGGCGGGTGGCGCGGCTCCGGCGTCCGCCCGGAGATGGTGCTCGTCGGCTTCCTCCTCACGCTGCCCCTCCTCTTCCTCGTCTTCGGCGGCCGCTGGGGCAGCAGCTCCTTCCCTTCGTCGTCCTCGTCGTCGTCTACTACCTCCTCTCCGCCGGTCGTCTCCAAGCCCGTCGCCCGCCACGTGGACGCCGGCGACCGCGGCGCGACACCTCAGGGCCAAAGTAAGCTTCTTGCGTCCTGTCCTCTGCACTCCGTTTTGGCCTGTGAATTTCGGGGATCACGTCGCACGTTAGCTCGTTGACCGGAGGCCGTGCGTGGGAACTGGGGGAACTGGGAATTCTCGCGTTTCCCGCCCCCGATTCTCAGACGGGGTTGGCCGTTGGCCTATGAACGGGGAGACGCTGTCGTATGCAATTCTCCCCGCCTTTCTGTTCGTCAATGGCCAAGCGCGAATTGGCGTTTTGTCAGGAGGTAGCTCAGCGTCCGATTCTAGAAGACGTCATCGTTGATTCGTTCGTGGTACTTTGTATGGTACGCTGGCGTTATGGCCAATTGGCCTATGGCGGAGCACACCGCACATTAATCAGATCACATGAATTCTGCGTCCGGAGTTGTGATAAAATCGCTGATCTGCCCACTTCATGAACGAGCAGTTTTTTGGGGGGCCAGGATCGAAAATTCAGATCCGACTTTGCTGCGTGCAGCAACACTGCAACAGTGAGTTTGTGGACATGTACAGAGGCGATCCTGTTTGTTGTGTCAGCGACTCAGCGTGTGGGAGGCGTCGTGATGCCATCACGCCGGTGCATGATGCATCACGGGCTCACTGCCCGGATCTTGTCCTGCCTGGCTGCCTCGCTAGTCGTCACAGTTCCTTCCAAAGGCTTCTGCGTGTGTTCTGCTCTTCTAGATGGGCCCAGGTTTTACTTGAGTGGTCCCTGGATTTAGGACACCAAACTGTTATTTTTAAAAAAGTAGCCTTAACCAAGGCCTTATTATGGTAATGTACTGTTTTTTTAAAGAAAATACTAAGTACTAATGTATCCAAGTCCAAATAAAGTGACGCTGCCCACTGTTAGGAAGTGATGAATTGCACTTTATTGTCTGCCGTATTTTGTTGCTACCGTATTTAGTAGAGAATGAGACTTTTTTTTTTGCTACCATATTTAGTTGAGAATGATACATGAGTGCTTGTGTTTCTCTCTTTCTTCTTTTTACTAATCACAAAACAGACGTAGACACAGTACATCCTACCCTTACAAAAAAAAAACAACTTTGAATGACTCAGCCGACACATCTTAAGGTGGATGAATGGCAAATTTGGTTTGCTTGTCAGCTTTTCTTGCCTAGCCAAGGTGAGCCTTGCCAGCGGAGGCAAGACAAATCCACTCACCCAGGCTAGAAAGGGAAATCCTCACTTGCACAAAAAATAAGGCAGGTGAGGAACGGATCCAAACACATCTCACCTAGCCACGTTCGCTTGACTTATAAGCTGTACTTTTTCAGCCAACGAACAGTATTTTTCTTTCACAACAAATCAGTCAACAGTATTTTCAGTCATGGCTTATCGGCTAAGCGAACAGGTCACAGTTTATCAAGGCAAGGTGAACACTAGCTCAAAGTTTCTATAGACATCTTGTTGCTGACAAGCACGTTGCCTACCACTAAAAGATCAACGTTGTTAAATCCTAGAATAAAGAAACGTGATCATTCGTGTAGAATGGAGCTCCATCAACCCATACAGCTGATCTAAAAAGATGCTAGGGGCTTTAGTTTATGCATTCTTAGATTTTGAAGTGAATGGTTTTGGCTTTGTTCTCAAGTCTGATTTCTTGTTGACTATAAGCTCAGTGGCCCTGTTTCTGGCCAGAATATGAAGCATCTAGCCAATTGCTTTCAGGAAAAGAAAGATATGTGGGCCTTTCTTATGTGGTTGTGAAGAATGAAACGATTGATCATAAGACACCATCATATATGTAGTCATTCAAATAGAGAAAGTAACATTTAAATTTCCAGAATCCATGCTGCTGCGTATGCTTTTTTTTACCGCATTTTAGTCCATATATATCCACTAGTACTTTTCTGATTACCGTCATAAAGATTATCAAAGTTGGTTGCAAAAAGAAAATTATAGAGTTAAAAAAAAAGTGATGGCATGTAGCCCCAAAGACCCACTTGTGAGCCTCACATTGGGCCAAAATCTTCAATTTACACATGTTTGCAATAAATTTCCATTCTCCCTGCATTCTTCGACTCATTTTTTGAAACATCATTCTTCGACTCATCTCTGATAACCCATTCATTCACTTAAATTATTCTCTGCAGAACCTGTTGCTCTGAAAAACGTCTCTGCATCGACGGCAACATCTGTGTCCCAGGATAAGCTTCTGGGCGGATTACTGTCCGCGGCATTCGACGAATCCTCCTGCCAGAGCCGCTACAAATCGAATCTGTACCGGAAGCCATCCCCTTTCCCGCTGTCCCCCTACCTGGCGCAGAAGCTGAGGAAGTACGAGGCGTACCACAAGAAGTGCGGCCCGGGGACGAAGCGCTACCGGCGGGCCGTGAAGCAGCTCAAGGCCGGGCGCAACGCCGACAACTCAGAGTGCAAGTACGTGGTGTGGTTCCCCTGCAACGGCCTGGGCAACCGCATGCTCACCATCGCCTCCACCTTCCTCTACGCGCTGCTCACCGACCGGGTGCTGCTCATGCACGTCTCGGCGGAGCAGGAGGGCCTCTTCTGCGAGCCGTTCCCGGGCAGCTCGTGGGTGCTCCCGGGGAACTTCCCGCAGAACAACCCGCACAAGCTCCACATCGGCGCGCCGGAGAGCTACGCCAACATGCTCAAGAGCAACGTCGTGCGCAACGACGTCGACCCCAGCAGCGTGCCGGCGTCGTCGCTGCCGGCGTACGTGTACCTCCACGTGGAGCAGTTCCAGCTGAAGCTGTCGGACAACGTCTTCTGCGACGAGGACCAGGTGATGCTCGGCAAGTTCAACTGGATGATCCTCAAGTCCGACAGCTACTTCGCGCCGGCGCTGTTCCTGACGCCGATGTTCGAGGCGGAGCTCGCCAAGATGTTCCCGCAGAAGGAGGCCGTGTTCCATCACCTGGGACGGTACCTCTTCCACCCGACGAACCGGGTCTGGGGGATCATCAGGAGATACTATGAGGCGTATCTTGCCAGAGTGGACGAGAAGATCGGGTTCCAGATCCGGATCTTCCCGGAGAAGCCGATCAAGTTCGAGAACATGTACGACCAGCTGATGCGGTGCGTCAGGGAGCAGCGGCTGCTGCCGGAGCTCGGCACCGCCGAGCTGCCGCCGACGAACGCGACGGCCGACGCCGGGAACGGCAACGGGAAGGTGAGGGCGGTGCTGATCGCGTCGCTCTACTCGGGGTACTACGAGAAGATCCGCGGCATGTACTACGAGAGCCCCACCAAGAACGGGGAGATCGTGGCGGTGTTCCAGCCAAGCCACGAGGAGCAGCAGCAGTACACGTCGAACGAGCACAACCAGAAGGCGCTGGCCGAGATCTACCTGCTCAGCTACTGCGACAAGGTAACGATGAGCGCCTGGTCCACCTTCGGGTACGTCGCGTACAGCTTCGCCGGCGTGAAGCCGTGGATCCTGCTCCGGCCGGACTGGAACAGGGAGACCTCCGACGTCGCGTGCGTCCGGTCCACGTCCGTGGAGCCGTGCCTGCACTCGCCGCCGATCCTCGGGTGCAGGGCCAAGAGGGACGTCGACGTGGCCGCCGTCAAGCCGTACATCCGGCACTGCGAGGACGTCGGCTTCGGCCTCAAGTTGTTCGATAGCTAACTCTTTGAGTGGACGGACAGCTCGACGATCCAATTCCTCTTTCTAATGGATTGCGTACCTGGCCTGTGGAGTAATTTTAGGCATTTCGAGATTCGTTGTATTCGTTTACCTACCTGTAGTCCTGTACAAGTTGCAAAAATGGCTTTCAGTACTGTATTCAAATTCGTTCTTCAGAAAACAAATCGCATATATACACTACATAGACGGCTAGAGATGCTTCCTCCTACCTGAATTTCATTGTCATACAGATACTCACTGGAATGCAAATTGATGACGACAATGACATACAGTTATTTAGTAATCCCGTTCCGCGGAGGTTCATGCGTTCCATCAGCGACCTGCCCGACCGCTTCCAGTTTCCTCTGCGCCCACGGCATACGTATAGGAATTAACGGCAACTCAACGGGGAATGCCAGGTGTCCATGTATACTTGTATACTGCCATGCGTCGTGCGACTCCACCAGTTGGGAGTATCCACGTGCAACGGATCCCCGGCGCGTTGCGTATATAGTTGCGTTCATGTCACCGTCACATGCCTCGTCGCGCCGGGACCGGGAGCGGAGGTGACGAAACGCGCGTCACAGAAGCAACACCGTGAGGCTGGCCAAGCAAGCGCTCCCCTAGTTGTGTCATGTCTGTTGTATACTTGTATATGGACGGTCGGTTAGCTTGCGCAGCTGCGCGGCCGTGCTTAAACCTTGCTGGCGGGTGGATCGCTGCATCATGCAGACATGACGCGAAGTCGTTGACTGCAGCTTGGCGCGCGTCTGGAAGGTACTGTTAACAAATAACAATGGCTTTGAGAAGACGTGCTGCTCTCTGCATATCCGAATGCGATCATTATAAGATGGTAGTATATGCTTGTTTAGTCAGCGAGTCGGGAAGCGTGCGCGTCCAAGAAAGAGCGGGTGCGGCGAGGGCGCGAACGCCGCGGGGAGCGCACAAGGTGGCGATCGGCGGCGGGGAGCTCGGCTTCTGGAGGAATGGGGACGGAAGCTACAAGGCCTGGCGGTGGCGTGGGTGGCGCGCGCCGGGCCGGACGGAGGTGGTCGTCGTCGGGTGCTTGGCCACCTTGACCTTGCTCGTGCTGGTGCTCGGCGTCGGCGGCCGCGGAAGCCTGTCCGCGTTCTCGCCGCCGGAGACTACTGAGTTCGTGCAAAAGCCAGGTAACCAACTAACCATGCTAATCCGACGAGCATGCTCGCTCTTCATGAAGTGCGTGACACTCACGCATATGTCGGAACTCGCACAAATGACATTACGGTAAATTTGATCATCATATGGAAGTAATTTCCGACAGCAGCATGGTAATCGAACTGTTTGACAAATGAGACAAATCGAATGCAACAAATCCAGTGATCCATCACGATTTCGTGGCTTCTCTTTCGTGTATAATATATAGATACGTATTACATACTCTTGATCACCATCAAGACAACAACCTTCCCTACCCGTCTTATAGGTAGCTACAGTAACTCTGAGTCGACATTCTCTTCTCTTTCTGCATAGAGAAGGATATTAGCATCTGCACGTGAAGTGAATTGTGAGATTTATTTCATTTGTATCTAATAATACTAATTTGATTTCTTTTAGACAAAGAAAACTTTATTTAAATTAGAGTTCCTAAAGACAATACACACAACTATTATAAAATAAAAAGAAATAAGAAAATAAAGATGGAAGAAGAATATCTAGTATGATTAAAGCAACATAAAATTTCAGATTCAAAATACAACTGAAAACCACCATTCAACATGCTTTCCAGTCACAGAGAAAAGCTTGACGCGATTACTCTATTCCCTTGTAATGCCTTTGTTCCAAACTGAAAGTCGTTTTACTTTTTCTAGGTACATGGCAAAAATTGTGTATCTCGAAAAGCCAGGACAGACTTACAATTTAGAATGGATAGAGTACTGTGAAGCGAAATGGTCAAAGCCCATGAAACTCCGCTATGCTTCTACAAAAGAAGGTGGTGAATAGTGCATCTAAAGCACCTTACATGCCTTCGAAGTTCAACTATCCTCAGCTAATAAACTGGTAACAAATAACTATCAACACACAGACTATAACAAATACCATAGACTAGAAGTCCAACATTCGCTTGAGTGGTAATTGGGCGTCTTATTTCAAAAAGCTCCCATCAAATTGGAGCATCTCTTCTCCTTCTGAACAATAAAGAAACAACCCACATTAGACCATGGGACTAAGCATGTGATCTTCCAAGACGACGCTTCCAGGTAAGAGCACGACCCTATTGACGCTGTTGTCGCCTGTCTTGCATAGAAAAGGTTTTCACCTTTAAAATCTCAACGCCTAGGGTAGTCAATTGATACTTGGTATGACTCCTCTCAAAGTGCTCTTCCGAAGGACCAAGGAAGTGATAATTTCAATATCCACGCGTCCAAATTTATTTCTAGACCTTCGGGGACGAGTGTAATACAAAATGCTCTCCTTGTTGGCATTGGCAGTATATTGAACTCTCTGATTATAACGCTGTTCTGCTTTTGCACAAAGATGGGTGGACAAATGTTAGCAGTTTGTTTGATAGAGTGAAATAAAATTGATGTGGCATTATTATTTTTAATCGGATTTTTTAATCCATTTTCTAAAGAAAATAATTTTTGAAAAGGAACCGCTGCCGCATGGGAGTACAGCTCACAATCCGTATAAAAGTTAAGATCCTGGCGCCTTTGAATCACCAACGTTCTGCTACATGAGCTGTAATCTTGTACATGCATTTACGGAATGAACACATTTTTGTAGGCTTTTTTAGATCAGCCCATTTCTGTAGCGTAAGCCGTTCAAATAAATAATACTACGATGCAATTATCTTTGGGTGACACTAATCAAACTCATTTGTACCATTCTCAAAAAAACTCATTTGTACCGTGCAGTTTCCGCAGCGTCACGTGTCCATGCTGATGCAGAGGCTGCAGGATTGAACGCCAAGCCCGCGCCGCCGACTCGGCGCGACCAATACCGCCTCATCGGCGGGCGCTCCTCTCGCCGGCCTTCGACGAGCAGTCGTGCCGTTCCCGGTACGCGTCGCCTCGCTACCGCCGTCCGTCCCCGTTCCGCCCATCCACCTACCTCGTGGAGCGCCTCAGGCGGTACGAGGCCCGGCACAGGCGGTGCGGACCCAGCGGGCCTCTCTTCAAGGAAGCCGTCCAACACCTGCGGTCCGGCCGCAACGCCGCGCGCTCCGAGTGCCAGTACGTCGTCTGGACGCCGTTCAACGGCCTGGGCAACCGCATGCTCTCGCTCGGCTCCACGTTCCTCTACGCGCTTCTCACCGACCGCGTCCTGCTCGTGCACGCGTCCCAGGAATTCGACGGCCTCTTCTGCGAGCCCTTCCCCGGCAGCTCCTGGACGATCCCCGCCGACTTCTCGATCACCGACTTCGCCGGCATTTTCACTATGTGGTCGCCGACGAGCTACAAGAACATACGCGAGGCGGGGGCCGTAAGCGGTGACCACCGCAACGTCTCCGCCGAGACGCTGCCCGCGTACGTGTTTCTGGACCTCATCCAGTCGTTCACCGACGCCGCCTTCTGCGAGGCCGACCAGCTCGTGCTCGCCAAGTTCAACTGGATGGTGATCAAGTCCGACATGTACTTCGCGGCCATGTTCTTCCTCATGCCGGCCTACGAGCCCGAGCTCCAGCGGCTGTTCCCGGAGAAGGAGGCCGTGTTCCACCACCTCGCCCGATACCTCTTCCACCCGTCCAACGACGTGTGGGGCATCGTGCGCAGGTACTACGAGGCCTACCTTGCCAGGGCCGACGAGCGCATCGGCCTCCAGGTGCGCGTCTTCCCGGAGATGCCCGTGCCGTTCGACAACATGTACGGGCAGATTGTCCGGTGTGTAGAAGGGAATAGACCAACTGGACGGTTTGTATTGATCATCAATGTGTACATATATAGAGTACAATCAGTGGCATTTGGCCACGCATGTGCATGCAGTTGTATAAGCTAGCGATCTATGCGGTAGCGAGGGCGCCGTGGTGACCGAGCGTGCATGCAGCGGAGGAGCGCGCTCAGCGGATCAGGGCGCGACGAGTGCGCGACGTGCATTGGAGGTTGCAGGCGCTGAAGACTCGGACTGCTCTAGCCGTTGGCGAGCACGTTCCGCTGACACCCCCCGCAGTCTCAACGTTGGCTGCTGTGACGGAGAGACTGTCTCGGAAGTCAGTGAACAACGCTGAAGGGAGACCCTTGGTGAACACATCAGCCAGTTGACGCGCACTGGGGACATGTGTGACCTTGAGCTCTCCAATGGCGACCTTCTCACGGACGAAATGAATGTCGAGCTCGATATGCTTGGTTCGCCGGTGATGAACTGGATTCCGCGACATGTAGACGGAAGAGATGTTGTCGTAGAAAGCAACTGTCGCCGTGGGCACCTTGCACAGGAGCTCGCCGAGGAGGTTCCGAAGCCATGAACACTCAGAGACGGCATTGGCTATGGCACGGTACTCAGCCTCGGCACTCGATCTCGACACCGTGGTCTGTCGTTTAGATGACCACGAGACAAGAGAGTTGCCAAGGAAGACGCAAAAGTCTGATGTAGAGCGTCTTGTGTCCGGGCATCCGGCCCAGTCGGCGTCCGAGTACGCCGTGATCGTTGGTGTCGTGGCGGTGCATAGCTGGACGCCGAGGCTGATCGTCCCTTTGATGTACCGGAGGATCCGCTTCAGCATGGTCTGATGCACGTCCCGCGGTGCGTGCATATGGAGACATACCTGTTGCACTGCGTACGCAATATCAGGACGTGTGATCGTCAGATATTGTAGGGCACCGGCGATGCTCCGATAGGAGGTGGCGTCGGCGATGATCTTGCCATCGTCGCTGGAGGGCTTCGGTTTGGTGTCCGCCGGAGTAGCGACTGGATTGCAGTTGGACATCCCGGCGCGCTCAAGGAGTTCTTTAGAGTACTGTGCTTGGGAGAGGAAGAAGCCTTCCTGAGTCCGATGAACGCTGATGCCGAGGAAGTGCCGCACAGGGCCCATATCCTTCACAGCAAAAGCGTCCTGAAGCCGATTGATGACTTGACGAAGAAGACTTGATGATGACGCGGATAAGATCATATCATCCACGTACAGAAGAAGATACGCCGTGGAGCCGCCGCGGTGGTACACGAATAAGGATGAGTCCGCCTTAGACTGGACGAAGCCCATCGATGTCACATGCCCGACGAAGCGGTCGAACCATGCCCGTGGAGCTTGCCGTAGGCCGTACAGGGAGCGCGACAGGAGGCAGACGTCGTCGGGATGCTTGGAGTCGATGAAGCCGGTCGGCTGCTGGCTGTACACCTGTTCCTGAAGATTGCCATGAAGAAAGGCGTTGGAAACATCAAGTTGGTGAGCCGGCCAGTTGTTCGTGGCGACGAGCGTGAGGACGGTGCGGATTGTTGCTGGCTTGATCACCGGCGAGAACGTCTCGCCAAAGTCGATGCCGGGTCGCTGATTGAAGCCACGGACGACCCATCGAGCCTTGTATCGCTCAAGGGTGCCGTCAAGGTTGAATTTGTGTTTAAACACCCACTTGCCGGTGATGACACGGGCACCGGGTGGACGGGGAACCAGTGTCCATGTCTTGTTGGCCTGCAGTGCATCAAATTCTTGTTTCATAGCAGCATACCAGTTGGGATCTTGCACAGCCTGGCGAACGCTCCGCGGAACAGGCGAAATCGACGTCGCGGTGGCCGCCATGGCGTACTTTGGATTTGGCTTGTGGATGCCTGCACGGGCGCGGGTGGTCATGTGGTGTCTTGGTGCAGCCGCGTCGGTCGGAGAAGGCGCGGCAGTCGGCGACGCTGGAGGGCTCGGCGTGGACGACGTGTTCGAGCGTGATGGAGCACTGGTGTCAGGAGAGCCTGTCGCGCCAGACACGACGGGGTTGGTGGTTGATGGCGTCGAGGGAGCTAGAAAGCTTGTCCATCGCCGTGCATCGCGGGCTCGAGTGGCACGACGTGGTAGGCCGGGCGCCAGACGTGGTGGCGGTGGCGAAGGAGAGCGGTCCCGTGCGCCGAGCCGAGCACCAGGAGATGTGGAAGGGTTGCAGCCCACCACATCCGTCGAAGTGGAAGATGTGTTGCGGAAGGGGAAGATCGACTCGTCGAAGACAACGTGCCGCGACGTGATCACCCGGCCCGTGTTGATGTTGTAGCAGCGATATCCGCGGTGGTTCGCTGGATACCCGATGAAGACGCATCTGGCAGACCGGGCGTTGAGCTTGTGGTTGGTGGTGGCGGTGAGGTTGGGGAAGCACAGGCACCCGAACACGCGAAGCGCATCATAAGAAGGCTCGACGCCGAACAGCATGGCATACGGCGTCGTGGGACCTGTGGCTCGACAGGGGCGCCGGTTGATGAGATATGTCGCAGTGGCTAGCGCCTCTGCCCAGAACGCCAAAGGAGTCGCACTGTGAATCAGCATAGTACGCACACGATCGTTAATAGTACGGAGAACTCGCTCGGCTTTCCCATTTTGTTGTGATGTGTGCGGACATGAGAGATGGAGCTGTGTCCCGAGAGAAGAAAGAAGAAGGCGCATGGCTGTAGAGTCGTACTCCTTGCCATTGTCTGTCTGAAAAGCGAGAATGGGAAGGCGAAATTGAGTGTGAACATAGGAGATGAACGCACGAATAGTGGGGAGAGCATCAGACTTGTTACGAAGTGGGACTGTCCAGAGATAGTGAGTGTAATCATCTAAAAGCACAATGTAATATTTATAACCGGAATGACTGTAAACAGGTGACGTCCAGACATCCGTGTGAACAATTTGAAAAGGAAAAAATGTTTGTGTTGTGGAATCTGAAAAAGGTAGACGAGCATGTTTGCCCAAACGGCATGAGGAGCAAGAATGAGCATCAGCTTTATTACAGTGAAAAGGAAAAGACCGTAAAACTTGAGCAGCCACTGGATGGCCTGGATGTCCCAAACGTTGGTGCCACAAGGACGTAGCCGAGGATGCAGTGAGTGCTTGATGCTGAGGAAGATGCAGGGGGTAGAGGTCGCCGCTGCTCTCACATCGGAGAATCACCTCCCTAGTAGGAAGTGCCTTTATACAAAAACCAGATGGATCAAATTCGATAGCAACATTATTATCATGGGTTAGATGACGAACAGAGATTAAATTTTTAACGAGAGAAGGAGAAACAAGAACATCATTTAGCCGTAGAGGGGTAGTGGTGGTGGGAATGAGTGTATTTGCTTTGTGAGTCACCGGCATCCGAGCGCCGTTGCCGACTGTGATTGTAGATGAATGAGGCTGAATAGTAGATGGGGAAAGATTACCAGAGGAGGAGGACATGTGCGACGTTGCGTCGGTATCAAAATACCACTCCGAGGCACTTGGTGGCTGGGAAGGGACACCAGCGGACTGGAGCGCGGCGTAGAGGGCAGCGGTGTCGAAGCTGTTGGCCTGCCCGTTCGTCGATGGTTGCTGATGATGACTGACAGCCATCGCCTGCTGGGGTTGGAACGGCGGCCGGGGTCCCAGAACGCCAGCGCCAAGTGCGCGGAAGGGCATGGGCCAGGCCTGCACCATGCCCTGCCAAGGGTTATAGCCCGCAGTCCATGGCACGGACTGGGACTGGTTGTTGGAGTTGTTGCCGCGCGAGTTGGCGCCGCCGCCGTTGCCTTGTCCACGGCTGCGCCGCCGATCGTTGCGGTTGCCACCGTTGTTGAATCGGGAATTGTTGTTGCGCGGCGTGTTGGAGTTGGAGGAGCCATCGGCTGAGGAGTGGTGTCCCGAGTTCGAGCCGCCGCCAGAGCGATCGCCGTGGGACGTGGTGAGCGCCTGTCCAGCCTCAGCCGTGGCATCACGCTGGACGCCGATCTCCTCAAGGATGAGGAAGGACCGGGCACTCATGAAGGTGTGTGGTGGGTACTTGGACGTGATCACCGGCTTGACGTAGTGATAGCGCGGATTAAGGCCGCGAAGAAGATTGAGCACTTGGCTCGGCTCGGAGACGGGATGGCCGATGTCGTGCAGCTGGTCGGCGAGATGCTTTAGTTTGGTGCAGTACTCATTCATGGACATGTCTCCCTGCTGCAGAGAGCGGAACTCGGCTTCCAGGTACACGGCGCGCTGCAGCTCGTTGTCCTGGAAGAGACCTTCGACGGCGTGCCAGAGGGAGAAGGCGTCGTTGCGGTCACGGCAGATGATGTCGAAGACGCCCTTGGAGACGGTGGCGAGGATCCAGTTGACGACGCATGAGTCGATCATGCGCCACGTGCCATCGTGCTCGTCGGACGGGGTAGTCGATTTCACGTGGCTGTGCAACCCGAACTTGCCAAGGGTGGACTCGAAGAAGAGCCGCCACTGGCCATAGTTTCCTTCATCCATGTCAAGGACGACGGGAACATGGTGACGGATGGAGATGCTCTGGATTTGTGAGGCAGAAGCAGGAGCGACGGAGAAGCCGTCATCAGAGGAAGACTCAGAGTGCACAGAGGAGGGCGCCATGGGAGCGGAAGGTGTGGCGAAGGAATTTTCGAGAACACTGGACGATGATACCATGTAGAAGGGAATAGACCAACTGGACGGTTTGTATTGATCATCAATGTGTACATATATAGAGTACAATCAGTGGCATTTGGCCACGCATGTGCATGCAGTTGTATAAGCTAGCGATCTATGCGGTAGCGAGGGCGCCGTGGTGACCGAGCGTGCATGCAGCGGATCAGGGCGCGACGAGTGCGCGACGTGCATTGGAGGTTGCAGGCGCTGAAGACTCGGACTGCTCTAGCCGTTGGCGAGCACGTTCCGCTGACACGGTGCTCGGACCAGGAGGGCTTGCTGCCGAAGGTTGTACAGAAGGACGGCGAGGCGAACTACTCCTCGCCGGCCGTGGCGCCGGAGAGTAGGACGAAGCTCACCTCGGTTCTGGTGACGTCGCTCTTCTCCGACTACTACGAGCGCATCCAGGGCGTGTACTACGCGAACCCGACGGAGACCGGGGAGTACGTGGAGATGCACCAACCGAGCCACGAGAGGGAGCAGCGCACGGAGGCGCGCGGCCACAACCAGAGGGCCCTGGCGGAGATATATCTGCTGAGCTTCTGCGATCGCATCGTGACGAGCGCGGTGTCGACGTTCGGGTACATCGCGCACGGGCTCGCCGGCGTGCGGCCCTGGGTGCTGCTGCGGCCATCGTCCCCTGAAACGCATGCTGATCCGGCGTGCGTTCAGTCGAAGACGGTCGAGCCCTGTCTTCAGGCGCTGCCGCGACAAATGTGCGGAGCAGCAGAGGGGACTGACATTGGAGCTCTGGTGCCTTATGCCCGACACTGTGAGGACGAGCACAAAGGTCTCAAGTTGTTCCCTTAAGCCTTAGCGTTTGTTGCAGTCTGTGTAAATAAATGCATACTTCGTGTGTTCGTGGTTTGCTGTCAAAAGAACAAACTTATATCACCAGAGATAGATAGGGCGCCTAAAAGGAGTTTTTTCCCCCTCAAATACGCAAAAGATTTACGTATCATTATAATTAAGAACAAGAGTTTAATCGTACAAACTATACGCTTCTGATGAGCGCGCTAGGTGGTCTTACAGTTATAACTGGACCTTCCTAGCGGACTATTTCAGACTTCGATATTACACTAGGTAGCGTACCCGTGCGTTGCTACGGGACAACTAAACTTTTATACTAAAAACACACGGATCGCACATTAAGATAACAATACTGTAAGACATTAAACTGACATTTAATCCAAAAAAACAAAGTTTATGAAATTAACAGTTACTAAGAGCATGGCACCGCAGGCTCATAAACTCTACTATATAGACATTTTCGTGATACGGCTAAAATAATATTTTATATCGGCAAGAAGTCTCCGATATTACAAATTAAAGGACAAATCAAATATGTCAGACAAACATTACTCAATCCACATATTTTGAACCTGTTTGACCAATGAAAATACATAAAATGACTATTATATTAAACTAAATTCATATCCATCATCTATTCACAGTGTATGTCACAAGCGTGTAAATAATTTCAATATTATTTAGTTCTCTAAATCTATGAGACGCGACACGGTGTCCTTAGCAAATTCTTAAACTCGACGATGTCTGGCTTCATCAACAAGCAGACGATTGCGTAGGCCTATAAACAAATAAAAAACTTTTGGGTCAATGTTGTAGTCAATAAATTAAATCAATGAATTACCCCAAAAGAAAAATCATGCGCCTGATTACAAATAGGACTGAATACCAATTTACTGAAATCGTCAGTAGTGGTCACTCCGCCTATCATGCACGAGCAAAAAATATATAATAACTGATACTTTATTTAGTCAATACATATGAGGACATCAGATACAACACAGGCTTCAATTATCAAAGATTGAGCAATCAGATTAGTCTGAAGATTGAGCTCACTCTTTACTGTCTTTGAGGTCATGACATGACATGCATATGAGGTTATGGCGATGAAAATCATCTATGTTATTGTGCTTACGGCCCAGTCAAAAGTGAAAAGTTAAACAATTTCAATATCAGTAGGGATGGAGCTTCATTGGACCAGAGTTAGCCATAGCCCCTCCTGGATTTAAACAAGCATAAATAAAAAGATGAGGCGAAGCTTTTGGCTGGCCATACGCAAATAACCAATTTCTCAATGTATCAGTCTAAGAAATAGAGTGTATTCTTATCTTTTACTCCTAACGAATCTATCATAAATAGGGCAGCAAGTTCACTATATCCACAACAATCATACCACGAACTTGCAGAACTATCAGCTGATCTCATACCACGAACTTGTTCGCACAACCAGCAACTTCACTAATGATAACTTGCTAGGGCAAAATAAATTTCAGTTGCATGGAGGTTTTTTCAGTATTTTAGACAGCTTTCTCTGCATATATATAGTTAAGCATCAAAAACACCTCAATAAAAACTGTACAAGCAGGACCATTAATCCAAAGTATGTATTACCGCTTACAATGGAAAATATGCTGTCAAGCATTTATAGTTGGTAGGATAAGCTTATCCACTGCGAGGAACAAAATGCAGGCAGTATGTGCATATGCAGATTGGGTGGGGGTGATGTCAGATTAGATGAGGCCTAAAGGAAGAATATGAAAATTTTAACTTAATTACCTTGTGTCTCAAGTTTGGTCACTCAACAGGCATCCAGGAGGGCACCCAACACTCAACAGGCACCTAGCAGAGATGCAACCTCATTAGTTTTTCTTCTGGAACGACTTATGGACACAAGAAGCATTTTTGCAGACTCAGAGCAGCAATAACATTGCATTAGAGAAGTTAATAAGCTAATCACAATGGCAAAATTTTCAAAAAAATGCTACCATTATAGATACCTATGTCTGATTAAACTTTTAACCTTACATCAAGACATACCGTCTAAGATTGGTAGGTTAGATGTTCACCAATAATCCAATATATTGTTATAATAAAGTCTAAGCTAGGCTTGCTGGGAAGCTTATCATGGGATATTATAGTTATCTTCATCCAGATGCAATGTCGCGTACAATTTAAATTTATCTCCAAATTGCTATGATCTCTGCGGGAGATGAGAAGTGACCAGAGATTTACCATCCAGTCTATATTGTCAGATCGTGCAGTCCATATCAGTCTATATTAAACTTTTCTAAGAAAAATTAGTGTGCAGGCAAGTCAGAAAGGATACAATATCAATGAACTCCTTGTAATAAATAATGATGCAATAACAGGAAGAGTTAAACTGTAAAAGCCCATTGCAGATACTGTAAATATTCTTTTAAGTTGAGTTTTCTTTATGCCATAAGAGGGACTTGGTATTCCAACTCTGGACGGTCTTGTTAATGGTAAAAATGGGTAAGCCAATATAAGGTGCTATGACTTTTTGATATGATTTATGGCTGTTAAGGAACCATATGCATTATGCCGTAATGTTTAAACCCAAAACATCATACAAAATTTTCAACGATGAGTAGCACATTCGTATTGGCATTAATACATTGTAATGGCTCCATCCCCACGCAAGTAGCATGGCCTGCCATGAAACAAAAAATGAAAAAATGTCAGATTGAGATGTCACCCTTCAACTGATCCCAGCTAAGATCCCTGAAAGACAATAAGACAAAGAGTAGTACATGAGAAAATTTACCCAAACTACAACCAAAGCCATTCTTAACATAGCACAGACCAATGATTATAGTCCGACCAATGATTCTAGTCAGACCATAGAATACTGAATTACTGGTAGTTAAGAAAATAGACAAAAGCATGTTACATAGAAAACTGAATTACTAAACACTGGCAGCCAAATACCAGGCATGGTTATATAGTTTTTGTCATTATGAACCACACTCTTAACATCGTTTTTTTGTGATGGTACAACATACATTCAAACTTTAATTATCATGGTTATATCTTTTTTTCCCGTTGCAATGGACGGGCAAACTACCAAACAGCTACACGTGAACAAAATAGAAGTGATAATGAGGCACTCAATAATTAGTGAAATGGATCCCAGTCATCTTTAGCTTCAGGTTAGTAGTTGCTAGCCTGCAGGTTACTATGAGTTTCTTATATGTGACAATTGATGCATCTGAAGTTCTGAACAACTGGACACATCTTCTTCATGTCTGTTAGCTTCTGCAGGTTAAGTGTAACCGAGCACAACGCCTTTTTTAAAAGAAAAATGAAATCTGGGAACAATATGCTTACTCTGAAAAAAGAAGATATTCTACTTCAGTTGAGCAGTGCGGACTGTGGAGTAGACCAGCAACAGCACGGGAAGGGGATGAGGTTGAGATGTCGAGGTAGATGCGTGGACCGTGTAGCTGAAGTTGGGACCGATCGGTGCTGCTTGCTCGCCTGGACCACTTGAGCTTGGAGGTTGGAGTGAGCTGACCGCCTGAGAAGGAGTAGCAGTCGCCGCTGCCGCTCGGATGTACGCGTGACGCCGCCCGAGCTAGATGGAGCAGAGCAGCAGCAGCCGCGGCCCCGATGCGTACGCGACGCCGACACCACCCTTGATGCGCGAGCCTCCGCCGCCACACTGATGCACGTGCCACAAACGGACTTCACCAAGATGCGAGCCGCTGCCGCTGCTCCCGCCCAGATGCGGATAAGTGAAAACCTCCCTCCTGCAGCCGTCTGGGGATGCTAAAGCCGGCTGGCCACGTGCCAGGAAGCGAGAGACGCGGAGGGGGTCCAGGGGCGGCGGGAGGTGAAGGGGGCGCACCGCGCTGGTGTACCCGGTCGCTTCATCGACCTAAGCCACCAGCTTCATCGGTGCATCCCCGCCCGCCAGATCGTGCGGACGCGTAGGAGGCGGAGGGAGGGGAAGTGGATGTGTTGCTGCCTGCGGGGGTCGAAGTGGAGGCGGGGAGTGGCGGCCGCAGGTACGGTGTCGAGGGTCACCTCCGCCTCCGGCGCGGGTGCAAGCCACAGTGCAGCAGTGGCCGCAGCCGTGGACGTCGGGGTGGTGCGGGTGGCGGCGTGGACCTTCAGGATGGGCAACGACGACGACGGATCTAGTGCGGGACCTGCCCGCGTGGGGATGAGGGTGGGGGGCCGCTCGCTCCGGCACGCCCGCCTGCGGGGGCGTCGTCGCCTATGCCCGCCGCCGCCTCATCCACGGCGCTTCTTCCCTTCCCGGCCGACCTTCTCCGCCTCAGCTACACCGTCTCCGACCGAGCGCCGACCGGATCCGGCCTGGCTGCACCGCGCCCCGGCGAGCGCCTGAGAAACCGGCGGTCCCCGGCGACCTTCTCCGCCTCAGCCACGTCGTCCGCCGCGCCTGGTCCAGGCCGTCCGCTCGCGCCGATGCGGTGGCCTATGCGCACGGCGAGGGGCACGACCGCACGGTGGAGAGGGATCTCGCGAGGGGGAGAGAGTGATCGGAGGCGTGACTTACACGAGAGATGAGGCAGAATATTTTTTCGCATAGCCGAAGGCAGAGCGACGAAGCGAGCGAGGTATCGCACGGGCGTGGGCAGACGGACGAACCAAAACAAATGTCGCACCAAAAAAATATCCACGCTTTGTTCTTTTTAGTTATAGAAGATAAATGGTATACAACCGAACTACGAGCACCACAGCAACCTACAGAGTTGGACGTCTCCGCTGCTGAGTTTTACAAGTGTGTGTGTTTTCTACCGATAAAAGGACCCGTTTGGATACAGGTCAACACTTGCAGGCCAAATTCTTGCCGTTGACCACGTGTAAAGAGAGCGTTTAGATTAAAGACACAGTTTGGCAGGCACTGTTTTTCCGTTCGTTCACTTTGCTAGACTATCCAGTTTGTTGACTTGCACAATGCCTCGGCACTTGTTACTGGCTGGACTGCTAAAATATATGATCATGGACACATAATC